CCCCATCAAACCATCAATAAAGTGTTCATTTTGCACATTAATCAACAATCATCCCTAACCCTAGCTAGGAAACTAAACTAACATGACTAAATCAACAAGACAATGAAACTAACAAAAACTAAACTAAAATGAACAACTAACATTAACCAATAAAGAAGAACAATGAAGAAACTAAGAACAAGAACAAGAACAATGAAGAACAAGGGAAAAGCAACAAAGAGGAACTATTGAAATAATCAACTACTCTAAACATTCAATAAACCAAAGAAAGCAATAAGTAAAGAAAGCAATAAAATTGAGATAGAGTTTAGAATGCTCATTGATGTATTGAAAAGAAATCCAAAACAATGTCACATTTTGCATCTTCAACCTCCTCAATCCACCATTGAAGCTCTTCACTTTCTCTCTCTAAGCTACTCATAAACTAAATTGCAAAACAAAGATTTAAACTAAATCTAAGCCCTAATCTAAGTGGTGAAATGATGGAGAAAGCAAAGGGGTTTCATACCCTCAAGGAGGAGAGAAGACCCCAAAAACTCCCCCCTAAGAAGTCCTCCATTTATATTACAAGAAGAGAAAGAAAGAAATGTGAAAATTAAGCTCGTACAAGACCCACAAAACCGCACCCGCGGTGGCCGGAGCTGCGCCCGTGGCAAGGCTTCTCTGAGACATCTCCATAAAGTTACAACACCAGGGAAGAACAGAAGGCCGCGCCCGCGGCACCATGGGCCGCGCCCGCGGAGCCTGGCAGCGTTTTGCAGATTCTAACGGTCATAACTTCTGTTCTAGGAAGCCTCTTGGAGTGTGCGACCTACCGTTGGAAAGATCTTCAAGTTTAGTTTCCAACGCAATTTGAATCGCCTCAATTCGATGTGTAGATCAAAAGTTATGGCTGAAAGAGTGAATAAAACTAGGTTTAAGGCCTTCTCAAGCTTCAAGCTTTCTGTCTCAAGCTTCTTAGCTTCTTTCTTAGCTTCAAGCTTCTTCTATTGAAATTTCTTGCCTTTTCTCGGGTCATAATCATCGAAGAAAGTGTCAAGCACCTACACAAATAGACCAAGAGAGAAAAGAGTGAAAGAACACATAGAAAAACATGCAAATCAAGCTAGAAACCGAGCAAAAAGCATATTATTCACAACTAAGGCCTCAAACCTTGAACTAAGACAAAGATAACTAAAACAAGACTAAAAGGAATAGAAATAACAAAGAAACATCGAAATAAAACTAATATTAAGGGAGAAAAACACCCTAAAATGTGTCATAAATGACACTTATCAGATGGCAGCTCCTTGCGGTTAGAGAAAGAGTTATGGGTTTTAGGGCTTTTTTAAGAGAGAAGATGAGAAGTGTTACAACCTTCACGAACTCTAGCATTAACAAATCTGTTATGTATCAAATGTTTTTTTTAATAACAATTTTTATGTTTTAAAATGTTTTTTTAATTAATATTTATCATTTTTTTATGCTCATATTTATCATTTTTTATCTAACAGTTTTTAATTTACTCCCACTTATAGTTATATAATATTTATCATGTTTTTATCTACAGTGCCTAATAGGTTTCTTATAAAAGTTTAATTTACTCTCACTTATATTTAATACTAGATGGAAGCCATATTTAATACTAAGCCCGTGCGATGCATGGTTTTTTCGTCTAAGATTTTAAATTATTTGATTTATTGTATTTAATAATTTCAGACAAAATTACAAAAGTTTAATATTTTTTTTTTACTATAATTTATAATGAATTTATTAAATTTAAATAAATTATAAATATGATATTTTTTCCGTTATATAAAATCTTTAATGTGAAATGAAATTTTTTTAATAATTTAAATACTAAATCATTATTCATTGTTTTACCATATATTTTATTTCGATAGAATCACCAACCTCGTTTGATATAAATTAAAATCCTAGGTTTAAATAGAAATACTATTCATTGTTTTAAAAATATTGGTAAACATAGAAATACTAATTTAAAAATTAAGCTAAAAATTACCCGGCCATTGATGACCAAAAATTAACACAAAATTACTAACCCCAAATTCGTTTGATGGGGTTTTTTTTATTGATACGAAATTTTTTTTGTGTTGTATGATGTGTCAATTTATAATGGTAGGTATCACAAATTTTAATTTAATTATAATTAATGAACAATTTGTATTTCTTATCATAAATACTATTAAAATTTATCTTATAATGATAGGCATCAAACTTTATTATAAGCGTTTATCATTTAAATATTTATTAGTATATTTTTTTTGGATTTCTTATACTCGTAGTATTGAATTAATAAATTTATCTTTTCCTATATTTTTTACTTTTTTTTTCATTAAAATAATTTAATTCGTGGATTATAATCTACATGGCATTAATCTTAGATATATCAAATCTAATTCGTTACTTTTATTTAGGTGGCGACATAATTTTTTAATTCAAAAATAAAAATACAAATCTTTCTTCTTATTAGTCGAAATAAGTATATTTTTTACGTGGCGCTTCGAATGCTCTCCAAAAATGTCTACTTTATTTATATATATTAAATTAGATTAGATTTAGCTCTTTATTTGTTTTTTGAGAAAGAAACTCAAAATCATGTATATTATCGTGAAGTAGCTCAATTTTTTTAATTAATTACATTATTGATCAAATAATATTAAGCTAGAATTATCTATTTAAAATTTAAGTTTCATTTAAGGAAATTAAATCAAAAAATTCTCGTACCTTATTATAAATTATGGTGTATTTTATAAGTTAATGACACGTACTTATAGATTAATACGATGTACCTTTAGTATGATGTACCTTATAGGTTGCTGTCTATAAAAAAAGTACCTTATAGGTTAATATGATATACCTTATAGGTTAGTATGATGTACCATATGGGTTAATGACATGTACCTTAATGGTTGGTATAAAGTATCTTATTGGTTAATGACATGTACCTAAGGGTATTAATTCGAGTAATCAAATGAAGTCTAAGTAGATTTATGATGGATCGGATATGTTCGGATATGTTTGGATCGTGTTTGTTCAAGTCAAAATTTCACTTTCCTAAATCATAAAATCTCAACTTTTTTTTTTTTTTTTTAATTTTTTTTTTACGATAGGCTTATGATGTACCTTATAGGTTAGTATGATGTACCCGTGACATGTACCTTTTAAGTTAATATGATGTATCTTAGTTTAGTACAATATACCTTATAGGTTGGTATGATAAACCTTTAAGGTTATTATGATGGACCTTATAGGTTAGTATGATGATTCTTATGGGTTGATGCCATGTACCTTATAGGTTGGTATGATGTACCTTATAAGTGAGCATGATGTACCTTATAGGTTAGTACAATGTATCTTATGAGTTAATGACATGTACCTTATAGATTAATATAATGTACCTTATTGGTTAATTACATGTACTTTATAATTTTATGATGTTTCTTAAAATAATGACTTTTTTTTTAATTAGATTGATCTATATCGGTTAAGTATATTGATTATTTTGATTTATCTTATAGATTAATACAATGTACCTCATAAAAATTTTACGTGTACCTTGGAAAATTTTACAATGTACCTTAAAAGTGGGCATGATGTACTTTATATGCTATCATGATGTACCTTATATGCTATCATGATGTACCTTATGGGTTAATGACAAGTACAAGTACCTTATGAATTGGTATGATGTTCCTTATAGATTAATATAATGTACCTTATTGGTTAATTACATGTAATTTATATAATTTTAGGAAATAACACCATAAAAAAAAAAAAAAAAAAAAAAAAAAAACCCAAATTTTGATTATAACACCAAAAAAAAAATAAAAAATAAAAAATAAACCTTTATTATAACACCATAAAAAAACTCAAAAATTTTATTTCACTAACTCGTAACGGATTTATAGATGGAATCCGTTAGTGGGGCCATAACTGACATGTGTCAAATGCCTATTGGTTTAAAAAATTTATTAAAAAAAATAAATAAATAAATAAATAAACCCTAAACCCAAACTCGGCCAGTTCCACCACCGGCACCACCTTTCCCCAGCCGCGCCGACAAGCTAATCCAAGCTGTCGGAACCTCCTGCCCCCACCAAAACCGCCGAAACCAGCCCTTACTCTCTTCCCCTTCCCCGAAAACCACCCCAGCTCCGCGTAGCGTCACATTTCCAACCACAAATTCGCACCGAGCAACCCCGCAACAACCTCCGCCACTACACAAAACCAATTCCCACCCCTTTGAACCATCGCAAATACTGATTTGCACCGATCCGGTGGATTGTGGTTGGTATTTGCGGTGGTTCGAAGGTGATGGGGTTCGAATTGGTTGTGATTGTGGTTGGTGTTTGCGGTGGTTCGAAGGTGATGGGGTTTCAATTCAGTGGTTGGGGTTTCGAATTGGTTGAGGTTTCAACGGTGAAGTTGTTGCTGAGGGATGTGGTGATTTGCGGTGGGTTTCGCCAGTTTAAGTGGGGCAGGAGTGCCGGCGGTGGGGACAGGTGGTGCCGCTGGGCTAGGTTCGGCTTGGGTTAGGTTGTTTAGGGTTTTTTTCTTTTTTCTTTTTAATTTTTTTTATCAATTTTTTTAAACCAATAGTTTAGTGACACGTGTTTGTTGTGGTACCCACTAATGGATTTCATTCAAGAATCCGTTAACCCACTAATGGATTTCATTCAAGAATCCGTTAAGTGGTGGTGAAATCAATTTTTTGGATTTTTTTTGTGGTGTTAGAATAATAGTTTTTTTATTTTAAATTTTTTGTTATTTTGTGGTGTTATTTTCTAAAAAATCCTATAATTTTATAAAGTTTCTTAAAATAATGACTATTTTTTAATTAGAAATTTTTTAAATATAATTTTTTAATAAATTATAATGTATCATGTAATTGATGTGTACTCGCTAATAAGAATAATACAAAAAAAAAAAAATTTAAATATCACTCAAGTAAATAAAATATATTAACTAAAAAGTAAATTTTTTTTTTTTTTTTTTTTAGGGAAGTAAAAAATATTTACTTAAAAGTAAATTAGAAAAACTTAATCAAATGGTTCGAAGTGTTAAAAGAGCCTACATGAGATTCGAACCCACATCTTTTGTCACATAGCTTCAAAAAACCGAGTGCATGATGCTAGAGTAACAGATATCGGATGCAGTATATCCTACATTAAAGATTAGGAAGCAAACAGTAAGGACAAGGAGGTAGATAATGAAACAAACATTACGGCTTGCACTTATTGCATGACAATAAAATCAGAAACCGATAACAACCAGTGCCCAATAATGATACATTATCCTTCCTATCAAAGAATCTCAACATTAAGGCTTGCACTTATGCACGACAAGATAAATCCAGAAACTGAGCAACCACTACCCAATAATGAAACATTATCCTTTCTATCAAAGAATATATGCCTCAAATCAATCTCTTGCTACCTCTTAGATAGAAGCAAATCAGCAAGCATTATTTGACTACAAAAAGCTTCCACAAATTTTAAATTACTTCGCTAGGCTAGGAACACACTTTAGTAATCTGGTTACATGGCAAGAGTGGCTAGATGCAAAGTTTCAAAGACTATTAAATTTACCTTCTAAAACTTGTTTACATATGGAACCCAACTTTGACATGCTAAAAGAGGAAGAGGTATACAGGATATCAGGTCAAGGGGAAATTATCACCCCATTATTTTTAAGTTCTTGCCTCAAAGCAAAGATACTTGTGAAATCAGCATCCCTGATACTGTCCAAAGGCAACTAATTTAATTAATAAGTCATAACCATTTACCAGAGATGATCTCATAACCATTCATGTAAATAGAGTATTATTATGCTCTACTTGCCTGTTTTCAAGTTACTCATATCGTCCCTAGTCACCATTAAGCCCCACTCTTACATTCTGGAATCACGATGTAGAATCCTAATGAACTCAATACCAAAAAAGCTCTAGCTGAAATTGATCATGTCAAGAAAGGCTTGAAAATTGATGATGAAGGTATCATTTTTGTATTAAAATTCTTCTGCCGCTTGTTTTGCTTCTTTGGTCACATTTGATGAGTTTGTTAATCTCTGTCAGATCCAACATATAACATAAGTGTTAGCGGGGACATCAAGCAAATGCTTGCAGAACTTGGAACTGAGAAAGGAAGACAAACATCATTGCTTGGAGGAGGCGAAAGCAAGGTACAACAAGAAAGAGCTACAGCACTTGCTGCTATTTTAGATGCAAGATCACGTATTGTAGATGATTCTAAATCTAATGGAAAGACTGAAAATAGACAGGGGTTTAGTGTTGTACATGTTGACTCGTATAGCTTCCCACATGGCTGGTGAAAAAGCTCCTGTCAATTATTACATCCACCCCTTGATTTTTCACAGGTTTAATGGATGCAACAATCAAAACATTATTCTCTGATGCTTTTTTATTTTTAACACTATATCATATGAAATACCACCATCCTGTTATCTAGGCTAAGAAAAACTAAAGGAACACTACCTCTTCCAGGCCAGCTACCAAATTAGCAGAACTATGAAATATCATGACAATCTGACTTCACTAATTTCCTTGGTTATTGACAACCACAATCTTCATTTATCAGCTGGCAATTAGTACTATTATCTCATACTAAATTAAGCTATGAAATGAAGGGAATGCAAATTAAGATATCTGGATTTAATATTGACATAAAGAGATCATTTCTGCTAACCAAGTGCAGCAGGAGATATGTATGCAAAACTTTCCAGTCACCTACTCACCCACACACAGCTCTTTATATTTGAAATGAACTTACTTAGAATATTGTTTCTCCTGTCCATGCTACATTCTAGCTGTCCACAATTCCTTTAAACACAAAAAGCAGCAGCCTGAATCAATTTTAAGCAATTAGTAAGACTGAAAATGCGTCGAAAGAATAGTAAAATTGAAACCAGCATAAACAACTGTGAAAGATGAATAGTAAACTAAAACCGAGCATAAACAAACTGTGGGAGATCAATAGTAAACTGAAACAAGCATAAACAAACAGTGTGAGATCAATAGTAAATTAAGCTAAGCTCCAACAATCTATGCATGCATTTCATTGTACTGCCCTGAATCAATTGAAACTAATCTCCCTCCCCAACTAGAGAGCATTTTCTACATTATTATACAACATGTGAATTTTCTTATAATACTGCATATTCTAAAAGTACAGGCAACATAATAAATAAAGGTTGTCAGCTCATAGATCAAAACAGAGACTAGATAGAAGACTTAAAATTGTGGGAGATCAATAGTAAACTGAAACTAAGCATAAACAGTGTGAGATCAATAGTAATATACAATACTCAATAAACCCAGAAAAACAAATACATGCATATTGAATTGCTGGTTCATCTATATCTTCTAGATTACAAAAAAGTCAAAATCAAATTCAAAATAAAAAATCAAGTACTTTGAGTCGTAATCTTAAATTTCTTTCACTAAAATTTGGTGTAGAACTAAAAATAATTTACCTCGATATTCAATTGAAAATGATCTTGTAATTGAATTTGAGATTCAATTGCTCACAGCAATGGAAGGTTTCGAGATCCAACAGATCGTAAACCAAATATTGCCCTTTGAATTGCTATAAACGCGGAGAGGAGAGAGATTGGAACTAGTATGAAACTTTGATCAGAGAGAAAATACTCAAATAGCTAGCTTCATAGTAAGTACCGAGTAATAATTAAAAGAAACAATATTTTATTATTTACCAAATTACCATTACTTACTTCTTATAATCGCAACCATCCAATTTTGTCAAATCCAACGGTTGTAAGAAGGGTCTCATATTAAGAGAAGTTCTCATATTATATAAATATATATAAATATATAGGGTTGTGATCCAATGAGAAAGATCTTAAAATAAGAAGGATGAGAAGGAATCCATGCATATAGAAGGATGAGAAAGAATCTTAACTGTACAAAAGTTATAATAAAACCCAAAAAAAATTTAAAAATACTGGCCAAAAAGAAATTAAACCATATAGTTGCTACCTGATACATATTATATATTGGAAGTTTTTAGTTTTTGCAGATTTTGGGAAGAAAAAATAAGAACCCTAGTTATTTCATTTTTACCCCCAAATCAGATCGTTAAAATGCAGTGGCTTCTTCTTCTTCTCCGCCGCATTAATCATGATTATTTATCTCCTTGCCTCCAGTAGAAGCAATATGATCATTCTCACCAATTTAGATCATCGTTTTTCATTTTGAAGCTGCCCGCAACACCAATGAATATTGCTCCACGACTCATTAATGGAAACAGAGGATGAGAGATAAAGAGAAGCACGGTGTTTTTATTTTTTTACAACTACTAAACCACAAGAAAACAAAGCAATTAAATTAAATCTATCTTGAATAACTTGGAATGTTTACTGGAATTGGCAATGTCGTGCCCTCTCTGTCCAAATCCTTGTTCTCAGGTGAATGAATAAGAGGAGTAAGCAATATGAACATTTAGAAGTAAAATTATGCACATTTTGGTTAAAATTTATGCACATAGAATTTATGCCAAAAATTATTTGCACATTCAGTTAAAAAAATATGCACATTTAGTACAAAATATATGCACATAAAATCGCTCTCATCCTTCTCATTTTAAGAAATTTATCATTGTATATAGATTTAGGGTCAAATGAGAAGTTTTATAAAATGAAAAGGATGAGAAAGATTTTATTTGCATAATTTTTGTATTGAATGTGTAAAAAAAAATTTGACCCAAATTTGATGTGCATAAATTTTGAGCATTATGTGCACATTTTCTGATTTTCTGAAAAGTTTAAAAATTTTATTAGTTCGAAAATCAATTTTGCACATTTAGTGAAATTTTTTTGCACATTTCATCCTTCTCATTCTTCTCATTTTAAGGAACTTCTCATTGGATCCCAACCCGATATATATATATATATAATATAAAGGTCGGGATCCAGTGAGAACCACCCTTTATGTGAGAACACTCCTAATATATGAGAACAAATCTAAGCGCTAGGATCAAACGATATCTACGGCTCTAATAAATCCAAACTTTTCATCCATATATTTGTTGCTACTCAGAAAAATAGAGTGAAGAAACTACGAGCTTCAATTTAAATGAGATTCAAGGATTTCGAACACAATTCCGTTCGATTTTTGTCAGATTTCAGCAGCGACAAGAATCAACAAGCTTCATAGATTATACAGGTAAATAATCAACAAAAGTTATGTTAGTTTTTTTCGAATATAATGTTCTTAATTTTTGTCAGCATTTTCGAATTTACGCAGTGTTGTTTATCATTATCTTGTTTGTGTTGACAGAATTTTTGGATTATTTTCTTTAAAATTCAATGGTGTAAGTCGCCTAATCTTATTGAATTTCATGTTAATCTTAGTATGTGAATTTATTGTTATGATAATTTTCGAATTTACTCTTGAATTTTTGTTGAAGTTGTTGAATTTCATGTTCTGATGATTTTCGAATTTACTTTTGATTTAGAATTTTCATTAAAATTATCGAATTACATGTTAATTTTGGAATTGCTTTAATCATTGAATTGCATGTTTAATTGCATCAATTATTTATTTGATTGACTTTACTTCTTTGAAGTTTTTTGAATTGAATCAATTATTTAGGTTTGATTAAATTGATAAAGATTGAAAATTTGCAATCTAATTTAAAATGAGCAAATAAATTGAAAATGAGCAAACCTAAATATGTGTAATAATATAGAAAAAATATAATGAGCAAACATAATTAAAATGAGAAATGGCATTAAAATTAGCAAAATAAGTTAGTGATGGTGGTGGTGGTAGGGTGTAGGGGACAGGGGCGGCAGCAGGGGAGTGAGAGTGAGATGGGTAGTGGTGGTGATGGTGATGGTGGTAGGGTGCAGGGGCAGGGATAGGGGCGGAGGAAGGAGAGAGAAATTGGTGGTGGTGGTGGTGATGGTACGGTGTAAGGAAGAGGGTGAGAAATGGCATTCAGCTCATTATCATGAGTTGCAGAAGCAGTGAAAGAGGTAGCTGTAGCTAATGCTAATGCTAGTTCTAAGACTAGAAGAGAGAGAGTGCCCATATTACTGTGAAGAAAAAAGAGGAGAGAGAAAGAAAGTGGAGGGAATTTGTGGATTAGGGTATCATTGTTGCGTTCTTGTTGCTATTGCTAGGATAGTTTGTTTTGTTGGGGTTGTGTTTCCTAAATACTTATTTGCTCATTTCACAAATGAGCATTGAGTTATTTTCTCATTTGACAAATGAGCATTCAATTATTTGCTCATTTGACAAAAGATCATAGAATTGTTTGCTTATTTCACAAATGAGCATTAAGTTCCTTGGTCTGCTTGCCTGTGCACAAGACCCGCCCCCTTCTTCTTGGTTTGTTTCTTGCACACCAACCACACTTTCTTCTTCCACTTCAGAACAAACCTATCCCCCTTGCCCCCTCATATTCTGCTTGCAGTTCTGATTTTAGAAACTGATTTCAGTTCTAATTTTAGATTATGAAATTATTGTGTGTGTGTGTGTGTGTGTGTGTGTGTGTGTGTGTGTGTGTGAGTGAGTGAGTGTAAGAGTGTATGTATAAGTGTGTGTGTTTACTTCTGGCTGTGTACATTCTTATTTAAGAATCTGATTTCAGTTCTAATTATTGAGAGTGTGTGTTTAAGGGGGTGGATATTCACTTGTTGCTATTTTGTGGAATTGTTAATGACTTGTTATTTCTATTATGTTTAATGATAGAAATGATGAGGAACAACGAACAACTTGACAGTCATTCTAGTACCATCACAAATGTGCCACCTACTCCCACAATAGTAGTTTCTCCTAAAGTAGCACCTTTGCTCACTCCTGGAGGAACAAAAGAATGGCTTCCAATATGCCCGAATGAGTTGAAACCAGCTATAGGGATGAAGTTTAATAATTTTGAAGAGGGCCTTGAATTTTATAAAAGTTACGCATTTGCTGCTGGATTTAACACAAGAAAGTCTACAACTAAAAGACAAAGAAGAAGCAAAGAATTGAAATCATAGTATATCTTATGCAATAAGGAAGGATACAAAGAGAAAACAAAGGCTACCATTGAAAAAGATTTAAATAACAAGGAGAAAGCAATGAAGAAAAAGCTTCGATCAAAAGGAAGAGACTCATTACTCGTGTTGGGTGCAAGACACATATTGTCATAAAGCACTGTGATGATAACAAATTCATAGTGTCATAATTTCATGAGGGACATACTCATGCACTTTATACACCTAGTTGCAATCTCTTCCAAAAAGAAGGAAGGACAAGAACATGTTGCACAAAAAAATAATTGTGAATAAATTCTAAGGTAACATTTTCAAAGTCTCTTATGTTTCATGATTTCTCTATATGTTCTAATAAAAGTTGTTTGCTTATTTGACAAATGAGCAAATAATTATTTACTCATTTGAAAAATGAGCATTAAATTGTTTGTTCATTTGAAAAATGAGCATTAAATTGTTGAATTGAGCAATTAAATAATTAAATGAGCATTGAATTGTTCGCTCATTTTAAAAATGAGCATTGAATTATTTGCTCATTTGACAAACTATTTTGTTTTTTAAATAGGTGAATATTGGTCCCATTACAACTTTTCGAATGATGAAGGAAATTGTTAGAGGATATGATAACATTGGTGCATATAAGCAAGATTTCAAAAATTTTCATAGAGATTTAAAAAGCATACATTCAAGGAAGTGATGCTCAAATGTTCGTGGATAACTTTACCAATAAAAAGCTAATGTGGAGCGCTTTTTTCTTTGATTTTGAGATGGATGAAGATTATTGACTTTGTAGAGCATTGTGGGCAAACCCCCTTTATAAAAAGAGTTATGCTCTATTTGGTGATATGGTATCCTTTGGTACCACATACCACACCAATAGGTAATACATAATAATCACAATTCATTTTTATGTTATAACTATGACTTAACTTAATGACTTTGTTTTAAATGAACTTAGTATAATTGTTTTCTTACTTCAATGTGAAAAGTGAATATCCCCATAAGTCTAATTTTCTTTGATAAAAGTATGTATATGGGCATTGAATTGCATGTTCATTTGACAAATGAGCATTGAATTATTTGCTCATTTGACAAATGAGCAAAGAATTGTTTTCTTATTTCACAAATGAGCATAGAGTTATTTGCTCATTTGACAAATGAGCATTCAACTATTTGCTCGTTTGACAAAAGAGCAAAGAATTGTTTGCTTATTTCACAAATGAGCATTGAGTTATTTGCTTATTTGACAAATGAGCAATCAATTATTTGCTCATCATTTGTCAAATGAGCATTGAATTAATTATTTGCTCATTTAAAATTTAATATGTATGTGTAAACGAGTACAACATGGTGTTTACTCCATTTACATGGGTTGACCATTATAAGAGCTGTATTACTTTTGCTGCTGGTTTCATAGCAAAAGAAGATATTGTGTCATTTGAGTGGCTGTTCAGATCATTTCTCAATGCAATGGGTGGGAATGAACCTAATTGTATAATCACTGATCAGGATCCAACAATGAAAATTGCTGTTACAAGTGTGTTTAAGAAGACTAAACATCGCTTCTGTATGTGGCACATAATGAAAAAGTTACTAGATAAGGTGGAGTAATCAATCATGCAAGAAGAAACTGGTTTCCTAAAAAAAATATGTGCTTGCGTTTATCATCTTG